AAAAAAAAAAAAAAAAGATGGTAAGCCACTTGGAAGATTTGGATTGGGTTTGAATGGAGGAGTCTTTGCTGAAATTATCTGACTTACATTTGAAAGGCTCATGCTGGCTGCTGTCTTGAGAATAGAAAATGGAATTGGAATAGAAGGAGATAGGAAGTGGTAAAAACAGAAGATGGGTAGAGGATACCAGTTAAGAAGTCTCACATTTGCTGATCTGCTGATTTGACATCTGGATGAAATAGAGGAGTCAAGCATGAGTTCAGGATTTTTTTTTAATGTGAATAATGAGAAGGATGAGGCTTTCCATTCACTAAAATTGGGGAAACTATGGAAAGAACATGTTTTTGGAAAAAGAGAATGAGGGCAGATTAGAGCAAGTTAAGTTTGAGAAAGCCAAGTAAAGATGTGGAGTAGCTAGTTGGATATATGCCTCCTGAATACAGGAAAATTATGTGCATTGGATATGTAAATTTGAGAATTTTGTACAGAAAAGTGGTAGACCCAATGAAGTCTCAATAAGTTGATCAAAGAAGTGATAGAGAGCCGGGTGCGGTGGCTGATGCCTGTAATCCTAGCACTTTGGAGGCTGAAGCAGGCGGATCACCAGGTCAAGAGATTGAGACCATCCTGACCCACATGGTGAAACACCATCTCTACAAAAAAAAAAAGAAAAATAAATACATAAATACGTTAAAAGAAAAAAATTTAAAAAAGAAGTAATAGAGAAGAAAGAATACTGTAGTCATTCAAAATTTGGAAGTGAGAAAGATGAAAAGGAAACAAAAAAGCAGACTGCAAAGAAGTGATGAGAAAGCAGACTGGTGAGTGTGGTGCCCAGGAGGCAAGAGAAGAAAGTATTTCAAAGAGGGTGGAGTTATCACCGTGTCTGCCTTAGTCAATCTGGACTACTATAGACAAAGTGTCATAGTTGGGTAGTTTAAAAACAATGTAAATTTCTTTCTCACAGTTTTGGTGGCTGGAAAGTCCAAGATCAAGGCGGTAACTTATTTGGTGTCTGGTGAGGGCCTGCTTCCTGGTTGTAGAAGGTTGTCTTTCTGTATCCTCACATGGTGGGGAAAGCAATCCAGTTCTCTGGTCTCTTTATAAGGGCACTAATTCCTTTCATGAGGGCTCAGCTCTCATGAGCTAATTACCTCCCAAAGGCCCCAGCTTTTATTACCATCACAATGGGGATCTGGAGTTCAACAAACAGATTTTGGAGGGGCAAATTTGTTCCATTGCACTGTAAAGTGTTGGCCCAGAAGGAGATGGCAAAATAACTCTTGGACTTAATAATACGGGGACATTGTGATGTCTGCAAAATCTATTTTAGTAGAGGGTTAGGGCAGCACACCATTTTCCTAATTGATACAGTCTTAAATTTCATTCTTGAATGTATCTAAACAGAGAAAGATGGGCTTTTGCTAGCCAGGTCATGTGTTCAACATCCTATTTTACCAATTTCAGTTACTGTTTCTTATATTCTACTCCTTTCCTCTAATTTTGTTTTCTTCCTATTGAAGTAGATTCCAGCAAATATTTGAGTAATCAACTCAGTGAGTTTATTAGAAATAATCTTCACTCTTGAAATTTCATTTAGCTGCATATAAAACTGTAGGATGATTATTATCTCTCAGCACTTGAAGCACATTACTCCATTGTCCATCTTCTTCAGCATCTAATATATTGCTCATGGAAAGTCTACAGTCAATCAAATTAAAGTATTACTTCTGTGTGGCTAATTCAGCTTTTGTCTTTATCTTCTAGGCGCTTTTTTACAATTTTGTGTATAAGTGTAGATTTATTTTGATTTTTATTCATCCTACTCAGCATGTGGTACACTCCTTTATGTGAGGCTTTGTTCTGTTTTCTTCCAGTTCTAGGGAGGTTTTGGCCAATTTTCTTTAAAATATTATGACTTTCCTGGGCCAGGTGCAGTGGCTCACGCCCATAATCCCAGCACTTTGGGAGGCCAAGATGGGCGGATCACCTGAAGTTGGGAGTTTGAGACCAGCCTGACCAGCATGGTGAAACCCCGTCTCTACTAAAACTGCAAAAAAAAATTAGGTGGGCATGGTGGTGCATGTCTGTAATCCCAGCTACTGGGGAGGCCGAGGCAGGCGAATTGCTGGAACCTGGCAGGCAGAGGTTGCAGTGAGCCAAGATCATGCCATTATGATAGAGTGAAACTCTGTCTTTAAAAAAAAAAATAAAAATTATGAATTTCCTGACAATCTGTTATTTCTCCCCTTATGAAGAAAAGCTTGTTGGGTGTACATTAGAGCCTTTCAATGTTACTAGTCTGCTTATCTCAATGCTCTTTTCCTGTTTTAGCTTTTTATCGTTCTTTGTTGAATTCTGAGTATATTCCTTGGCACCATCTTTGGGATTCTTTTGGAAAGAGATGAGTATGTGTAAATCTTTAAATAGCTATGTGTGTTTTTTACATTTCCATTATGTCTTTTCTTATTTTATATTTGTCAATTTTTGTTTTATAATTTATTTGATTTTATTGTTTATTTTTAATTGACAATAATTATACATATTCCTGGGGTACATAATGATGTTCCAGGAAATAAAATGTATAGTGATAATGTGAGGGTAATTAGCATATTCATCATCTCAAACATTTATCATTTCTCTGTGTTGGGAATTTTCAATATCCTCCTTCCACTGTTTGAAACTAGGTATTATTGTTAACTTTAGTCATCCTATAGTGATGTAGAACACTAGGACTTATTCCTCCTATCTAACTGCCATTTTATATCCCTTAAAAAATTTCTCCATATCTCTCCCTTACCCCTACCTTTCCCAGCCTCTAGTATGCTGTGTCCTTCTTTTTACTTCTATGAAATCACTGCTTTTTAAACTTCTACATGTGAGTGAGAATGTATGGTGTTTAACTTCCTGCTCCTGGCTTAATTCACTTAATATAGTGTCTTCCTGCTACATCCATGTTGCTGTGAATGTCAGGATTTCATTCTTTTTAATGGCTAAATAGTATTCCATGGTGTATATATACCGCATTTTCTTTATTCAATAATCTGTTTTTGGACACCTTGGTTGATTCCATATCATGGCTATTGTGAATAGTGCTGCAGTAAACATGGAGGTGCAAGTATTCAAAGGGCATCCAAATTGGAAAACAGGAAGTCAGATATGTTTTATAATTTCTTATTCTACCATTTAAATTGTATTCTTTATCACATTGTTTATCTTAAATATATGTTTGTTAAACTAATTTTAGGTGATTCTGTTAATTAGCACTTGATCAGGAATATACTCATCTCCTAATTGCTGAGTTGGTTATCTGTTTTCTGGTGTTAATACAGATTTTTGCTTTCAGGTAACACATTGAATTAGAGATGTATTTCTTACTGTCACTTACTCTTCATAATGTAATGCATTTCATTTGTTTCCACTAATCCTTCAAGATTTTAGTCATGAAGCAGCTCTTTTATCAGTATCTCGGGATTCCCTTCCATCTGGCAGTGGTTTTGGAAAATTCCCTGACCCAGTCACTGCACAAATAAGCTAGTTGACTGAAGTCTAATCTGGATGGCTTTCTCTGTATCCTACCCTTTCTTTAGCTAGGCATTGCTGAATAGTAGAGATTATTTTTTTCAGTATCTTTTTATGAATGGCACAACCACAGCCCCTGATTTTATGCAGGCAACCTGGAACTGGTCTCCCACTCCTCCTAGGGGAGCATCTGACACCTCACTGGAGTGTGGGACCTTTGCCCCTTTCTGTTTCAATACCTGAATTGCAGAATGACTGTGGCTTTAGACTCCATTTACCTACCACTGTGGTATTCTGTTCTGTTTCTGGTCAAAATATATGTTTATCTAGTTTTCAAGAACATAGTATTTTTTAAGCGTTTATCTTTGTATTCAGAACTGAAAATAACATTTTTTAAAAAATGAGCTCATAATGCCAAAATAATCTGAAGCACTTTATGGCTTTAATAAGTACTGCTCTCAGCCACACATTTGACAATATATGTGTATGATTTATATACATTGAATTTTTATGAAAAACATTCAATAGATTGCATTCCTTTGCTAAGAGTTCATGCTAAATGTGGTATTATTCTAACACAAAACTTTTTATTTTAATCCTCAACACAGTCTTAGATCGGATTGGTCCTATAAATAGGTGGCAACTCATTTGGCCTTATTTGTAAGATCACAGAACATTCTTTATCCTAGTATTTATTTTATCTGCCATGATATATAAATTCCACCAGAGTAATTCCCCTGAATTTGATGACTTTTTATTTTCCCCCAAGTCTTCATGAAATAAAAATAAATGTGAGGGATGGAGGAAGAGAAGCTGGTGTCTCTGCAACACTGACACCTAACAGAAAATAAGACCCTTTGGTAATGTTATTAAGATCAGGCCCCTGGAGGATGAGTCAAAAGTGCCAAAAAGGATATTGAGTGTTTCAAAGAAAGTGAGAGGGCGCCAAAAATAAACTTGATATTCCTCTTAATCTTATTTAGTTAGAAACCATGCAACAATCATTTATAAAGCTCAATTTACCTTACTGTAAACATTAGTGGAAAAATGACTTACATGTACCTATCTCTATCATCACCGAATGGTGTTCATAAAAAAGGCAGATTTAATCATAGTTGAGTAAAGAAGGAAGTTAAAAATAGATTTTCAAACGTTATCATATTTACTTTACCAACAATTTTGATTATGTGGCAACTTTATTTCTATAATTGTATGCAGCAGATCATGGTAGACATTCCTCCCCAAAGTTTTTAGTATATTCTTCTGAAAAGTTTTCCTGAGAATTTTCAGTTGACTTCTCAAGCTTCCTTGTTTTACCTTTTCTTAAATTATCTCCCTCCTTCTTTAGTGAAATGAGCCTTCCTTCAGCATAGGCAACTTATTCTTACTCCTTTCTTCATACTCAATGTTTTTTTCTCTCTTTTAGCCAACTGGGTCCTGAAGTAGCTGAAATGAGAAAAAGGCAGCAGTCCCAAAATGAAGGAACACCTGCTGTGTCTCAAGCGCCTGGAAACCAGAGGCCTAACAACACCTGTTGCTTCTGTTGGTGCTGTTGTTGCAGCTGCTCCTGGTATGTCATGTTACCTATAGGATGCCACACCCAGGCTTGGCAGGCACTAGTGTGAACATGCATGCCAAATCTTAGAACTGTAGAAACTTCTCAACATGTCTTTTTTTGTTCTTTCTTTGCAAGTAGGACTTACTGAAGACTATCATTGGTTTAATGTAAACACTTCACAAACAAAAATATATAATATTTCCCCAAAATCTACATTTAAATTGATCATGGGTAAAAAAATGAAGAAGTGTTTTAGATCATGTTTTTCTCCATCCATGCTTCTTAAAGATGTGGGTAAAAATAAGATTTTAGTTATATATGTATTTATCAATAAGCAATATTCTCCAATGTTACAGATAGTTAAAAACATTAATAAAAAACATTAGTAATATTGCATGTAGTATTGAATGTGGGTTTTTTTTTTTTTTAGTTATCTGCTGTTACTTGATAGAGTGTTGAGCATACAGCTGCATGACCAGATAACTGTAAGTCAGGGTGGCAACCTCTGCCCAGAATTCTTGCCAATAAAGACAGAGAGAAAAAGGTCACAGACTCACAATCACCTATCGAAAAGGTCAGTGGCTGTGCTTGGAATGATGGCCAACTCCGTCCATTGAAAAATCCTGAAATTAAAGCCAGAGAACATACTTCCATTGGAGTGTTATCACTGGCAGGCTCTGGGACATCATGCAAACTCATTATAATCTCTTTGTTCTTTGATTTCCTCATTGGCAAAATAATGAAGAATTAAAGAAGCCAATCCCCAAGGTGCCATCTAGTACTAAACCTCCATGATCCAGGGAACTCAGAGAACCTGCTTGAGTTCCAAATTCACAAAGTGCCTAACATTTATGCAGATGAGATTCTTCAAGGGGATGCTAGACTTTATGGAACTTCCTTTGAACCATACATTTTGAGGTCTTTTAAAATCCAGATAAGAAGTGGGTCTTCTAGCCCAGCAGTGAGTGATCTTCTAGGTCACCCCAGCCTAATTCAGAACCTAAAGAAAGGCCCATATGTGTGAGTCATCTCTCTGTGTTTTATGTCTACATTTCCCCAACATATATTGAGGTTTCTTTTTTGATACAGTGGCAAAATGTTATATCATTGTGGCCAAAATAGAAGGTAAAAAGAGCTGTGCTAGAGTGGTACCCTTGGTGATGGAGAAGCTCCATCCACTCTAGAAAACTCCAGTTCCAGAAAACCATCAGATATTGCAGTAATCTGGAAAGCTTAAGTACTTTTTATAAATATCAATATTTATTCCCAGATGATGATTCTTTGTTAGAGAAAGTCATACTGCATTAGTCTGTTTTCATACTGCTATAAAGAAGTACCTGAGACTGGGTAGTTTATAAAGAAAAAGAGTTTTAATGGGCTTACAGTTCCACAGGGCTGGGGAGGCCTCAAAATCATGTCAGAAGGCAAAGGAGGAGCAAAGGCACATCTTACATGGTGGAAGGCAAGAGTGTGTGTGGAGTGGAACTGCCCTTTATAAAACCATCAGATCTCATGAGATTTATTCACTGTCACGAGAACAGCATGGGAAAAAAAAAATCCCCACGATTCAGTTACTCCCCACCATGACCCTCCCAAGACATGTGGGGATTATGAGAGCTATAATTCAAGATGAGATTTGGGTGAGGACACAGCCAAACCATATCACATACATAATTTGTTTTCTTATACTCTTAAGCCTTAATAATTTAAGATGGAGGAAACAGAGTTTGAGATGAAGTAAATATTTCAATCATAGTTGTGTAATCTTTTTCTGTATCATGCCTTAAGAGATTATCTAGGCCGGGCGCGGTGGCTCACGCCTGTAATGCCAGCACTTTGGGAGGCCGAGGCGGGTGGATCACAAGGTCAAGAGATCGAGACCATCCTGGGTCAACGCGGTGAAACCCCGTCTCTACTAAAACTACAAAAAATTAGCTGGGCATGGTGGCGCGTGGCTGTAATCCCAGCTACTCAGGAGGCTGAGGCAGGAGAATTGCCTGAACCCAGGAGGCGGAGGTTGTGGTGAGCCGAGATCGCGCCATTGCACTCCAGCCTGGGCAACAAGAGTGAAACTCCGTCTCAAAAAAAAAAAAAAAAAAAAAAAAAGAGATTATCTAGCTCAGATCTTAATCCATGAAGTACCATGTAGTGACTTACTATAGTGACTCTGAAGTCAGATTGTCCGGGTTCAAATCTTGTCCTCACCCATCTTTATCTGTGTGACTTCAGCAAGTTAGGTAAATGCTGGTAATAAAAATCCCTGCCTCATAAGATTGTTGTAAAATTAAATGAGATAAATATATAACAAGCTGAGAACAGTGTCTGACATATAGTAAGCGTTTAATAAGAGTTAGCTCTCTGGGCTATGGGGCACTTCATATTGGAAAAATAAGATCACTTTAAAGAGGAAATGACTTTAAATAATGTTTAAAAAAAGATGTTTGTAGCTATAACACAAAAATTATCTTGGAAAAGAAAGCCATTTTATTTTAAATTCTGTATAAAACATCACCAATATATTGTTACACAGGGTTGAGGAATATACTTCTTGTGCTCGTTTGCACTATACAAGATTCCTGTAATCAGTAAAGGGTTTTCTTTAGCTGCCAAAACTTATTGCTGAACTGCTTTTGGATTAAAACACCAGAACAGATAGAATACTGATACTTTATGTATTAGCTGCCATATAGGTATTTAGTGAGTTTTGCTTTTATCAATTTTTAAATGATATATAAAATAACAAAACATTTAACATGGGCACATAAGCATGAGATTGTTGCAGTACACAGACAGTGGATGGAGAACAAAACAGCTTTTGGAAGCTGCATCCACTCTCTACACCTCCAGAGTGGATCCCCAAACACTGGGTACATTGGGTGCATTGGCTGCATTGGCTGCATGCTCTGTTAGCTCTAGACTAGCACACTCTTGTCAGGAACTGCATTTGTTGTCAATGAACATTGGATGCCTGAGTCTAGGCCATAAGATGTACAGTCTATAAATTTACAAGTCCTTCTATATATGATAAATGGTAGATAATTTATAATTATTATAAACCACTTTATTTTTATTTATTTACTTATTTATTTATTTATTTATATCTGAGACAAAATCTGCTCTGTCACCCAGGCTTGATTGCAGTGGCACAGTCACAGCTCACTTCAAGCTCTAACTCCTGGGCTCAAGTGATCCTCTCTCCTCAGCCTCCCCAGTACTGGGACTACAGGTGCATGCCACCCAACCTGGCTAATTTTTTTTTTTTTTTTTTTTTAGTGGAGTCTTGGTATGTTGTTCAGGCTGGTCTTGAACTCCTGGGCTCAAGCAATCCTCATGCCTCAGCCTCTCAAAGTGCTGGGATTACAGGCATGAGCCACTGTGCCTGGCCATTGAATTTTTTAAAAAGGATAAAAGTTAATGTTCCTTAAACTATTAATTTTAATTATGATTACATTGTCTTATTGCAAATGAAAATGTCCTTCACCCATATGTTTTTAAAATATCATTATTTTTGTACATCAAGTTTAGAAAAAAAAAATGTAAAGGCTTTTTGGAGTGAAAATAAAAAGAAATAAATGTCCTTCAGATTTTCCAGGCTAGGTCAAAGGGGCAGAACAAAAAGAAACACTAAAATTGTAATTTAAGGACTAAAAAAAAGTTAGAAATCAAAATATGAAGTTAACTGTCATTCGTGAATGGGAGCAGTTGTCATGTGGCTGAATTTACTTCCTTTTAAGGAAATAGAGTGGTAGGAAAATAAATTTCTCTATCTGGTAATAAATACCTCATCCTAGCTTCATGTTATGGGTTTTATAAATCATGTAATATTTCCCTCAAATTTGCACTTCTAATTCATATTTCATTGTCAGCTCTTCTCTCATTTTTAAATTGATTCCTGTCTTTATAACATTACCACCACATTTTTTGGGGGAAGGACACAGAGGATGAGTACATAACTGCTGAATGTTTCCACAGTTTCTTTCAAAATTCTAAACTGTTTAGAAGACTTCATAGTGACTTAAGCTGATCTATTCTCTAGCTCTGTCATAGAGGCACTTTCTCCCCAATATCAGCCTCTCTCCTTATCTCCCTTTTCTCCTCATAGCCCTTGCAATAAAAGAAGATAACACAGGAGGATGAGGTTTAGAACCATTAATAGCCTTAAATACACAAGCAATGGATGCCCAAATCCAGAGCATAAAATGGGCAATCTATAAACGTGCAAGACCTTCTATTCATGGTCAAACAGCTTTTGGAAGCTGCATCAACTCTCTACACCTCTAGAGTGTATGGGGAAAAAAATCTCATGATTAAATTACCTCCTACCATGTCCCTCCCATGGCACATGAGGATTAAGCTAGGGTGAAGAGACCATTTTGTCAAGACTATTTGTCTGCAGGTTCAAGGTTGACAGTGTCAAGTGGAATGTCTTGCTTCTTCAGATAGCAACTTTCTTCCCTTTTCTTTCTTTTTTTTTGAGATGGAGTTTCGCTCTTGTTACCCAGGCTGGGGTGCAATGGCATGATCTCGACTCACTGCAACCTCCGCCTCCTGGGTTCAAGCAATTCTCCTGCTTCAGCCTCCCGAGTAGCTGGGACTACAGGTGAGCACCAGCATGCCCAGCTAATTTTTGTATTTTTAGTAGAGACGGGGCTTTACCTTGTTGACCAGGATGGTCTCGATCTCTTGACCTCATGATCCACCCGCCTTGGCCTCCCAAAGTGCTGGGATTATAGGAGGCATGAGTAACCACACCTAGCCCTTCCCTTTTCTTTATAAGAAAGAAATCTTTGAAAGATACTGAAGGTTTCTCTCAAACTGCCTTCAGTCAGGACAGCATGAAGCAGTGAGGTTGTTCAGACACTCACATGTGAGATAACACATATAAAAGTGCAGTGCAGATTAGAAACTGCTCGGTGCTTAAAAAAAAGGAGGAGCATCAAAATGGCCATAGGAAAGGTAGAGCTTTCAAATTTTATTTTGAGCTTAAAGCTCATTTTCAAATTATCCTATGA